CTGCCAAGAACACAACATCGTCACGCTTTGCATGCCTCCGCATTCGTCTCACTTCCTTCAGCCGCTTAACGTTGGGTGCTTCAGCCCGTTAAAAAAAGCGTACGGTCGACAAATCGAAAACCTGATGAGGTTACACGTTAACCACGTGACCAAGGTCGAGTTCCTTTCGGCGTTTAAAGCGGCATTTTTTGCCTCTATGACCGAAAAAAACATTCGAGGAGGTTTCCGAGGGGCTGGCCTTGCTCCTTTGGATCCGGATTCGGTTTTGGAAAAGCTGGATGTAAGGCTACGGACTCCAACTCCCCCGAGAACGCCCCTGAACGACCCCGAACCTTGGACCTCCAAAACGCCCAAAACAGCCAGGGAAGCAACTTCGCAGTCCGAACACATTAAAACTCGGATTTCCAATCACCGGAGCAGCTCTCCGACACCTATGCTAGCGGCCGTGGACCAGTTTGCGAAAGGGGCGAAAGCAATCATGCATCGAATGAACCTTTTGGAAGAAAAGAACTCCAAACTGCGAAGGGCGAACGAAGCACTAAGCAAACGCCGAAGGGCCAAAAAAAACACGTGTCCGACAAGGAGGGTCACATACTGTCGAAAAGGTACGAGATGCTTTGGACCAGGAGGAGCTGGATGGGCAGCTACAGCAAGAAATGCGCGACCATGGGGGTCAGGAAAGGAGGGCGACGACGACTCGTCGGCGATGTGGCACCTGCGGCAAAACCGGACACAACGCGCGCACCTGCCAGGAAGTAAAAATGTCCGATGTATACAGTTCCGAGTAGTTTGAATGGATTGCTGGCGTTGTTGGGTTGGCATGCGTGTGACGGTTCAGGCACCAAGGCAGGGAGATAGGTCACGTGAGAGGAGCTCAACCACAAAACCCCACCATGTTCCCCTCCGTCATGTACAATACTTCCTTCCCTCCTCACCATGGAATCTTCGTCTGTAGGTGCCAATAGATCATTGCCCTCGCGCATGTCTAGGATTATCCGGCCGTGACAAACGCGAGCAAAACAAGCCAAATGGCTTGTTAGTGCCCTGATAGTGCTTCGACCATTCTTTTGGTGGGCCACACACCAAAATTGGCCGTGTTCCTTAGCGGCCACTAACAGTGGGTCCGACAGGAAATTTTTTCGGGGGGAAGGTGTGGCTTTGGCTAGGTCCCGCTGTGCGGCAGCGCATTTTCCGTTCCACCACGGTTGGCTTATACTTTTAGCTTTAGGCTTTTTGCCGAAAGTGTCCAGCGCGCCTTTTAGCAGGTTTATTAATGCTTTAGCTGCTGTGTCCAGGTAGTTTGTAGTGTGCGAGCTTGTAAGTGGCGGTAGGCTGCCGGCCCCGGTTGCTACCACGTTGGCAAACATTGGGAGTTTGTCGTCGGGGAGCGTAATGTGCCTGCAATCCGGAGTAGCGTTATTGGGATAGGGAACTTCGATCCGTATTGTGCGGTGGTCTGAGTTTGTTGCTAGCGTGGGGTCGATTTCCGCTGTTGCTAACGAGGCGTTGGTAAAAGTAAGGTCCAGCACACCCCCTTGATCGTGCGTGGGCCTACCTGGGTACGTAAGTAGAAAAAGGTTGCAAATGTCAGCCCATTGGGCTATCTCCTTACCCCTATTTCTGTTACCCCGGGCCGGGTCCCATGTCGAGAACGAGGCGTTAAAATCCCCAGCCACGATGCATTCCGTTGTTGGGCGCCAGCGTAGTAGTAGGTTTAAAGAAGGTTCCAAAGGATCCCCTGGGGGCCTGTATACGTTAACGAAGGTGCACCCAGAAACGGCGAGCCAGAGGATATCTCGCGTGTTGCCTGCCGGCCTGTCCGCCGCTGGCCGAAGCCCTGGGTCCTTCCGTACGTAGGTCATTACCCGGGGCCTGGTTTGGTGATCGTGCCAGCAATCTACCGGAGTGAATAACTCGTACGACGGGTGGGTGCAAAGCATAAGCTTCCCTTTCCACGCGGTAGGGGGCTCCTGCACTAGCACCACGTCGATGTTTTGGCTCCAGGATAGTTGGAGCAAAGTAGCCCCCGCTTCCCAGCTTCGTCGAACGTTTGCTTGGGTAGCGGTTAGGGCACGGCGGCGTTTGGGGCGAGGTCCCGGGTGCCGGGCCCTATTCCCACACGCTGGCGCTGTCTTAGTGTTATTCTACAAGATGAGGAGAGAAGAGGGTGGAAACGGTCCTCGTCCTTGGAGGGCTCGAGGCGGCCCCTATATACAGGAGTCCTGGCCCAAGGGGCACCCCTTGGGCCACGTGATCCGTGCTGGGCACGGATCCGTAACATATAATTAAACTATAAAGGAACGAGATAATCGGTAGCAAAAACACGGTATTTAAAAGAGAACAAAGGAGCTTGTAGGCTAAACGCGTGTAGGGCTAACTAGAGGCGATCTATGTAATATGCGGCGCTTGCCCATATCAATAAGATAAGGGCTACGCGTGTTACGGGTTCGCGACCTTTTTTAAAAGGTATTGTAAGGAGTTTTAAACTACGGTTCACATATTTTAACACGGTTAACCATTGGAATTATCAAAGCACGTAGGGGCGGAGTAGATGGGTAATAGATAGAGGGTATTCGGATTAGGTTGGCGGCCGAAGGCCTGCCCTGGGAGAAATTTGCTATCTAGTGGGGCTAGAAGGCCTGTGCGTGGGGTTGGTCACGTGACCCTATACGTGCCGTGACGGAAATTGACAAATTGAAATGTGATGACGCGCCACTTTTAATATCGTCTTTTAAAATAATACAGGCCTTATGTCACAAGGTGTTACGACCACACCAAAGAAGGGGTGTGGAAGCAGGGTACAGGAACGGCTATGGCTGGCTACTACCCCGCTTTTTGTTACAATCAGGCCTCTGCTCCTAGGGTAGGGCACCTAAGGGGCAATGAGCAGTAACACTGGACTGGGTTGACTTGGTGAATCACTGGGGATCGGGGATGCAGGTCTGAATGCTTGCTCCAAGGGATACTTGGAAGCTAACTTAGATTGACTGATGCCAGTGCATCATGTCAAGAACTATCTTAAGAAAATAGGAAACCTTTCCTTTTTATACCCGAGACCGTTGGCTCTCGGGGTCTTGCTCTGTCGTTGTCTACAGAGCACCCTGCTCTGTTGCGTCTACAGAGCACCCTTGATTGGCTTAGCTAACGGTGGCCCGTGGCACCCCTCCTTCATGGACCGAGCGGGGTAGACTGGGCCCCACCGGCCCAGGCTTCTTTGGTCGTAACACTTTTGTCAAACAGCTACGGCATGAGGTTACGTAAGCAAGGAAAAGGGATCTGTGCCAAAAGACAAATCCAAGGGGATCTGTCCTAAGCGACAGATCCAAAGGGATTTGTCCTAAACGACAGATCCAAGGGGATCTGTCCTAAGCAACAGATCCAAAGGATCTATCGCGACTAACAGATCCAAACAAGCGCAAGGAAAGGCACAGGTATAAGAAAAAAGGATTTCCTACAGTACTAGATAGCTTTAACTGAGGCTTCGGCATTAGTCAACCTAAATTAGCTTCGAGACATTCCCTCGAGCAAGCAATCGAGACTTCGTTCCAGCACCAGCGCACCAGACCCAGAGGCCTTAGGGCCTTGCACTGCTCAGCACCTCCCCTAGGGCGCCTTACCCTAGAAGCAGAAACCTCGTTTGTAACACAAGGGTGCAATGCAGGCTTGGAGGGGATGCTGTTGACATGACAGGGTCAAATTAGGGGATGCATGCGCTAATCACAGGGACAGCTGTGTGACGGCCCAGGGCAGTTCACCGCACAGCGCAGGGATCCACGTGAGCACGCGCCGCGGAACAGCCCGTGCGACAAGACGCCGCACCACCTTTTCTTCTGCATCGCGTGTTCGGCGCTCCGCGCCTCTTTCCCTTTTCCCTCCCCATAGAAGAGTCTTTGTCCATAGCATCAATTGAACCTGGCTGCGAAGCCTACTCTTCCTGATCGTGACAAGCTGGCTTTGTTTAGTTGGACTGGGCCCTGCAACGCGCTATAAATTAGTGCTGTGCAGGGCCCCAAGCACATTGGGATATAGGCTTGTTATTGTGGGTGAGGAACAGCCAACTCTGTTACCCCATATACCCACCGACATCGATCCCGCGGGTTTTCCCCCCTGGAGGGTTGCGGTGCCGCACGCGATTTTCCGAAAAATTATTTACTATAGGGAATTTTTAAAAATCGACCCACGGCCACCAAACCCATCTCCGCGTTCGGCCTCCAAAGTTGGCTTCGCCGTTTGGATCGAATCGCTACAGGGAGGCTGACTCGTGGGCCCCACAGGTGGCCCTTACAGTGAAAACAAAAGGTGCAGGGTAGGTTGGATGCATGCATCCTACCTAAGCTATATACATAACAACTAGCTTAACCTTTAAAGGTAAAAGCTATTACATATTGTGCTTATTTTTAACAGATGCTCTCTATTAAAGCTAATAATCTTTCATGGCCTTAAGAGATGCTTAAGGAAGCAGAATCTTTTGAGGGAACCATGGAGGGATACAGGGTTTATATAAGGCGTGCGGGGTGGCCCGTGCCAAAAGCCCCGCGATCTCTGTAAGGCCGATTGGCCGCCTTGATTCCCGTGATTGGGTTGGATCGGCCCGGCCTTGATGCCTGAGGCCGGACCCGTTGGGCGCCTCCGTGTGACACCAACGTGGTTGTAACATAACTCGCTAATACGTTCCTAGCTCTATCAGCGCGTTTCTAGCGCCTGAAATTTTAGGTTGTCGGGGGAGCCGGGGCTAGCATATGGGCCAGAATGAAACTGCAAGGCAGGGGAAGGTTAAGTAGTAGCGAAAGAGAGATGGATTACGGCCGGAGGCCGGGCACACGAGGAATTGGGATAAGTCCAATCCCCTGTGGGCCTTTATCGGTCGTGATAAGGGCAGGGGCCCACTTAGGTGGGGCCCCTCGATATCTAATCTCTTATCTAATCTCATACCTCCCTCCTGCTGCCGTGACACAGAAGTTGTTTCCGAAGCACTACAAATCGCTTCCTGTAACCTGCAAATGGCTTTCCTAAGCGCTACAAGTACCTTCCGATTCCCTCTCACGCTCCGTACATTTGGTCAATTTTTAGCTGCTATGGTATCTGCTCTCACACTACCCAACTCTAATAACGCGTTGCTTGTATTATATTACTATTTTCAGCAAGTGGGAATTTTAAAGAAGCTGGTCGGAGGAAGACCCCGTGTAAGGGCCTCCCAAAGCAAAGACGGGCTCTCGTGGGCATGTGATCCAAAGGACAGCTCGATGTAAGAAAGGGCCGTGTGAAGAGCTGAAGCGTGTGAAGAAGAGCTGAAGCGTGTGAAGAAAGCTGAAGGAGATTGGATTTACGAGACTGAACGACTTGCTGCTACATCTGGCCAGGAGCTACGGCTCGATGCGGAATTCAACGGGGCCGGGGGCGCTTGGCCCCGAGGGACGGATGCATATGTTGCAGGCGACGTCATGGATCGACTGGTCGAATGCCAAACCTCGACCATTTCAAAACTGGTCCCCTTCGCACCTCAGCTCGATCCATTCGCCAGCGGACGGGGCCGACGGCTCGTCTGTCTGTATGCCGAAGCGTTCGAGCATGAAGGCATCTGGGTCTGAGGGGAGGAAAAGCAAGCGAGTTACGTCGCCTGGCGAGTCCAGCCGCAGCCGCGACATGTCCACACCCTCAGCTTGGCAGCTCGACGGTTGTTCCTCCCGGCAACAAAGCTGCTGCGCATGGATGCGATATGCGGCCGGTCAGCATCTCGCCAAAGACAACGTCGTCGGTTGCGGCGTAGCGCGACGCCACCAAAACCCATGCACCGCGCACAATAGTCGCCAGGGTCGTGTTAACAGAGACTGTGAATTGCTGGATGTTCTGTTTACTAATATCGCATCGCCGACGCTACGTGCATTAGAGTACTGTGGACGGCACGACCCGGAATTGCTGTAGGGATCCCGCCCTGGGAATCATCTTTGCTGCACGTACTGCGATGGCCAAGCTATAGAGTAGACGCCGGACGTCCATACACGGTTGCTTGCCTGCCCACATTTGGTGTCATTCGTCTGCCCAATCCTCGCATTCCAGGAGGACGTGCCGCACGGTTTGTGGCCCACGGCCGCACAGGCACTCGTCGGTGTCGGCTTTGTCGATGGTGTGGAGGTAGGCTCTGAGGCTGATCTTGCCTATGCGCATCTGGGTGATCACAAAGCTGATCGCCCTGTGCGTACCGATGTGAGTGTCGAGTGTTGCCTTGCCCGACCGTACTCCGACCCGGAAAAGTTCTGTGCCGTGCCTGGCGGTCTTTCAGGCGGTTAACCACTCGGCCCGCATGGCCAGGCGGACGGTGAGTTTCGTAGCCGCCATAAAGCTTTGCGGAGATTATGGCTCGGGCAGTTCAGGGTGCGTTCGCAAGTCTGGGAGCCAGCGGCCTCTTTTGCAACCTGGCCGGCCATTTCGTGGAACTGTACGTGCCATCTAAGGTGCCGGAGTTGGTCGAGCGCCTGGAGCTCCTGGACCAGGATGTATTGTACTGAGGGGCACTTGGGATTCCTGGGTCAACTCGCCGTGAAAACGTCGACAGCCAAAAGCGGCTTTTGGGGGTGGGTTGGCTACGATACTAATCCAGATAATGAAATGGGTTGCAATTGATTTAACGACGATCATTTAGGCTGAGAACGCCGAATGTGGCGTAGCAGAGGCCGGGTTTGCTTGAAAAGTCGAGGCTAAAAAGAGAAGTATTACCCAGGGACCCATGAGCAGGAAATGGCAGACCCAAAAAACCTGAAAAACTGGAAGTGGCTTTCTTGATAGCTAGAAACGGGGGAGGCGTACGCGGCCAGTGCCTTGAGGAACGAAGTGAGGAACGAACGAAGAGACGAAAAGGTCTTATGCCGAACCCCCGAAGAAAAAACCCCGGCTTCTAAGGCTCGCTTGCCCGCTCACTCATCGTGCATCCCGACCCGTTGCGTCCGGTCGCGCGATGTCGTCCCGCAGCGACCGCCGTCGCTTTTGTCGCAGAGGGATTGGACCACATCGCCCATTTGTCTGGGTAGCTCTGGCCGTGGTAAGCAATCTCATCATTTCGTAATCCGACTCCCTCCCCCTTCGCCTCGCTCTCGACAACATCCCCGCCCGGTCCAGGACCAGCGTCACCGTGTTGGCACCAGATGCTCGCATCACGAATTGCTCTCTTCAAACCCATGGAAACACCGCGTCCCAATTGCCGCTCACAGCCTATCATTCTACTGCATTCAGGGTTCACCATACAGCCAGAACCACCATGGGCCTGTCACGTCAAGAATCCCACTCCGCGAAAAGGCCCATTCTGCACACTGTGTGCCCGGCTACAGAGGTGCAGAGGTGACTAGAGGGCAG